TACTCTGCTGACTACATCTCACCAGTGAAGGCTCAGTACTGACACCAGCAGTAGTCAGAGCCTCTGCAGGCTCAACCCTTTGTTTCAGACCATCCAGACACACAACCAAAACAACAACTGTCGTCAGTTCTAACAAACTCACAGCTGATCTCAGAACAATAAAGATATATTTGATCTCCATTCCTCAACTATCTGTGTTTGGGTTTATGAGTGTTTTATTAGTTTAGGTCCCTCCTTTTAATGCATCATGTGATCATTCATCAGAATCACAACATTGTTACTATGTAATCTTTGTGTCTTTAAGAAAATTATATAAAAACTTTTACCACATTTTTTTCTATTATTTCAATTTACTTTTTTTTCATAGTCACGTTTAATTGTATGTTTAGTTCCCTTTAATTTTTGTGTTTTATGTAAAATTTGGTTATTGTAAACCAGTAACATACAGTAAATTTAACTGAAAAGTATTTCTTTGTCTTGGTAATATCAGGAGATTACACAACAGAGGTTTGTAATCAGCATCAGAAACTGGAGCAAACTTAAAACTCGCTGAGCAGCATTATTAATGTAACCTGAGAAAAACCTGAGCAGTACCAGACGTACAATTAAGACTGAAAAGTCAATAAGGGCAATTGTGCTATTACAAATGGATGACAGGTGTGATGAGCTGAAACAATGACTTATGTGTAGAAGGGCTGATAAAATATACTAACTAATCAAAGTTCTAGTGTTATTTTAAAGATAACATTTCAATTTCTGCCTTTCATGTGAAAGTTTAAATGACAATCATTGTGTTTTGAAAGATAACGATTTCAGTACTTTGGTCAAAGACTGAAAAAAAGTCATGCAAAACTACTAGAATGTGTGTTAGGAATTATTCTCAGCTAGTGATGGCCAGAGGACAATTTGTGAAGCCAGTTGTGTTGGCTCATTTATTGAGGATTCTAGTACTCAGTAGCTACTTTTTGTCAGTGTGGCCACATAACTCATTCCATGTCTCTTTGTCTCCTGACTTTAAACCTACCTACAGGATGCATTTGGCTCATCCATGTGGGTACTGTAAAATTCAGTCAAGCTTGAACTTTTGTCTTGGCAACACAAAACATGCTTTAGTGTGAACAAAGACAGTTATGTTCAAGCAGTTTCCGATGTTTAGGCTTTAGCCTTGGTGGGTTTTGAGTTGGTCCTGATCATCCTAACCACCATTATTCCTCTGTGTCACTGAGGCCCACGTGTATTTCTCATTACTGTAAGTATTGACATAAGTGCTTTGAAACATTTAAATTTACTATCATATTTTTGATGCTGGCAAAGAAACTACAAGCTCCACTCAGTCAGGATTGTCAGTAATGAGTATGCAGTGGTCTTGTCAAAAAAAGCAACCTAGAACATTTAGAACCACAGTAAATGGTTTAGGTGCCTGACTGCATATTTGTGAGTATGAAAGTATAATTTTAACATTGGGCAAATGGAAAAAAAAACAATAATAAATTTCAATGTGTGCACCCATTTTTAATTTTTAAGTAATAGAAATTTAAAATATATAATGATAT